TGAAATATATAATATAAGTTTACAATACCTATAAACTAATTATTATTTTGTAGGATCTACATTAATAAATTTGACATTAGATTCCAACACTGTAACAGAAATGTTACGAATTCATCTTATTTCTTCTGGTTCACAATTTAAACGTGATAGACGGCAAAGTGTTCCTGATTATATAGAGGATGATCCTGGACTTTTATTTAAATTGGAAGAACCTGTATTATTAAAAGATCTTTCATCTGTATCTGTGTATGAATTATCAACAGGTATTTTTACTTGATTTATTTATTTTTTTTTTTCATGATCTACTCAATTTATCATAAGATTTTTAAAGAAATTAATTATAATTTATCTATATTAAATATGTATATAAAATTTTGTTGTGTGTAAAAATGTACACACAGCAGTTTTATATGAATAATATGCATATATTATAAACAAGGAATGGACCAAATGAGGGTCTTTGGCCAAATGCAAAGTAATTATTCAAATGTTACTGTTGCTGAATAGCAAATATTCTTACCTTCCTGACTGCTGAAAATCCAGTGATTTATTTGATACTGCTAAACAGAAAGGTTAGGCTCTAAATCTTAGAATAAGATGGAAGGCAGCAGCATCAATTAATAATGAAGATTATATAAATTTTTATTTTTAAGAAATTATTAATATGTAATGAAAATTAAATCTTGCTAGTGGGAATCATATTTTCTCTCTCTGCCATATAACTTAGTCAGTGAAAGTATGTTATGTTCAGCAAAGCTATTTATGATAACCAACAAATGACAGTTTCCTATGAATACAAAACCATTACAATTTCACTCTTGAATTTGATTATTAATAAATAACATTTGCTCAAGATCATTTATTACATTACATTTGTTTCAGAAAGGGATAAATAACAATATTTTTAAATATTTGAGATTGTAAATGTTATTTTCATCCTGGTTTCCTTCCCCCAAACTGAAATGGCATAGTTAAATAGTTCACCATTGGCTGCATTCAGCAGACTCAACAGTTGTAACTGAGCAAATTGATAGTTGTTATGTAGCAACCTGAATCTGCTGAACGATGAGCGACATATGGGTTGGAAAAACCTCATTGATCAGTTTCAGGTAGAATAAATGAAAGACGTTGCCAAATGTGACGTCAAAACACCAAACATGTTCTGAAAGAATGCTACTGTAGAGGGCATTCAGCGGGAAAATAATGAGTTGAGTATGTTCCAAAACTTTTAAATCTTTAAGCACAACGGCTTTTAGAATCTCAGAACGTTTAACCTGAAAAAGGCCGAAGAATACGGTCGAAAACATTTGTTTTTTCAAATAAATATTTTACTGGTCACTCAAAGGTTTATTGTGAATCTATTTTTATATATATTGTACCAGCACCTGATGAAGAGGAACCTTTACACAAAATACTCAACAGCTCTGAAACTGTTGAGTCTGCTGAACACAGCCATTGAGTCAGTTCATGCTTATTTGGTCTGGATATCAAATACCTATGTTTAGTATTTGGCCAAAGACTGAATAATATCAAATGTTTAGTCCAATGCTAATTTAAACTTTATTTTTAAAATTGATTTAGTTGATTGAATTGATTGAAATTTCCTCCACAATAAATTAAATTGTGGAGGAAATTTAACATGAAAAAATAGATATTTTGGAATAACTTGACTATATTAAATATATAGTGTGAATATTTTGAAACTTGAGGAGAATATTTAATCACCAATTTTAAACAAATAGCATAAAGAAAATTTAAATCATGAGCATTTCTAATGAAACATCAAATTAGTTTTGTAATAAGTCAAATAAAACTACTGGCCTAAAGTTTGATATTTAAATACAGTAGTTGGCAGTTTATATTTGAAGGGAAACTTCAAATCTGTTATAATAAATTGATTATCAAAATGAAATGAAGACTGGTAAGATAAATCATAATGCCATGTTAAGGTGACATGTATTTTGATATAAACAAAACTCAATTTTAATATTGAAAATAAAATTTTTGTTACATTTTTTTTTTCTTGGTTATACCAAAATTAAAAACCATTGTTTAAATGTATTGTATAATGTTTGTCTGTAAAATATGTGAAAAGGAAAGGAAAATATAGAAAAATATTTATATAAAAGTTTTTAAGAAACTGAATCAAGACTGGGGAGTTGATAGCTGTATGGGTGAAATATAATTTACTGTTTCAGAAAAGATCATAGGCAATGTCAGATTGATTTTATGGAAAAAAGAATTGTTTGAAAATTTTTCAAGAATTATGAAATGATGTTTATATGTTTAGAATTTATGAACTCCATTGCTATAATGAAATTCTTATGTCCATGCATCTGTAATTTAACTGAAAATATAAGATATGTTTTTCTTTTTTTATCTGCTCTAATCAATAAAGAGAAATTATAGGTTAAACTTCAAGTTATTGACAAAATGTCAAATTCCTAGTTTTTATAAGGCTCTATTAAAATGTAAAAATTATGACTATATACAAATTTATATTTTTTAAAACTTATTGGGGAAAAACCAATTGATATAAACATTTTAATATTTAAGTTACATATATTAGTAAGATTCCTGAAAATGGCCGTAACTCAATTTCAAAAACAAATGTAGTTATTGTCCTTAGCATGGCAGAATTACCATAGAAAGATTGATTCTCCTTCATGGGGAAGACTACTAATATAATAAATGTAATAAATATAACAAATAATTGCAGACATTGTAATTTTTTAATAAAACAATCACATTTTACATAAATTAACAACCCTAGAGACTTGAATAATATACCACGAAGTTCAAATACAATTAATCTGGACATTGTATAATATATAAAAACATAGATATTATAAAACAGTTGTCATTCCTGAAGGAGTTTCATAATAAATATTCTGATAATCTTACCCATAATTATGTTGATAAAATTGTATCAAATTGCTTGATAATTGTACTACTATGAAGAGATTGAAACATTTATGGTTGCCATACGTGATTGGGTTGTAAATTCAAAATATCATAAAATTTTATATTGTGTCTGAAACAAAACAATATAGCTCTTCAACAGAATTTAAGATATAGTTATTTAATTACATGCATAATACCTTACCTATTTTCCACAGTTGTTTTGTTTCCTGGGCAGTTTCTATGTTGTTGATTTTACCAATATAGATATTTTGTTTAGTATGGTTGTTTGAGATAAACAAGTATGATATATAGATCTTAATTATAGATTTGCTGTATTCTTATGTTTTAAGTAAATAATCCTATATTTATAGGTATAGTATTTTGTTCAGCAAGTAAAATATCCAAAGGTTAAAACGTACAATTTATTCAATTCTTTATTCTACATATGAATTTCAGGTTGGCATGAACTCTCAACCCTCTTCAGTGTTATATAATTTGTATGTTTTTATATAGAAACAACCATAGGCAGCGATTCGATTTTAAGTACAAGTGATTCTGTAAATTTGTAAGGTGATTGATGGTTTACCTTTAAAAAGTTCACATAAATTAAAAATGAAGTTTTTAAATGTTCATAAGTAGCCAGCTGTCTTAATATTATATAAACAAGATTGTAAAGGAAAAAATATTAAATTTTATATGGTGTAATGCCCAACATCTCTCATGGGATTAAGAAATGAATAAAATCTTAAAACACTGGTTATGCACTTGTACTTGAAATTGGATCTCCACCTATGGTTGTTTCTATAGAAAAACATACAAATTATATAGCACTGAAGAGGAGTTGAAAGTTCATGTCAACCCGAAATTCATATGTAGAATAAAGAATTGAATAAATTGTACATTTTAACCTTTGGATATTTTACTTGCTGAACAAAATACTATACTCTATAAATATAGGATTATTTAGTTAAAATGCATGATGTACGGATATTGATTATTAATGAATGATGACTGGTCTATTGTGATGGATGAATACATTTTCTGGTATTGTACTTGGCATCAAATGAATACAGTACATATTTAAATCACAGTAAAACCAGGTTTGATTCCATGAGAATATGTCCAAGATAGAGAGAGTGAGTAGTTTTTGTCCTGAAAGCATGGAAATTAATCTAGATTTGCAGGCATAGTGTGCCTATTCTAAGATATATAAAGAAAAGTGTGTTGACTGAATAGCATTTTAAATATGAATGCAATCATTACATTGTGCTTTGAGAGGGTCTAATAGTCTCACAATTGATTTAACCAAACTTGGCAATCAACACACGGGTGATCTGCCAAGGAGGATGCCTTCTGGAAAACCTTCTAAGATGAACTGGCCCCTATTTTGATGATAGACATGTAGAAAACTGAGGAAATCCCATGTCAGCTTGTTGGTGAGGAGCAAATCCATGAAGAGTTGGTTTGGTGATTTTATCCACTCAACCACTGGCAGATAATAGTCATGAGAAGCCTAGGGTGGATAAGCTATCAGCCTACCACTCTGAGAGACCCAAAATTGAATCCAGGTCACCAAACCCAAGAATGTTTCAGGAAGTGATCTATTCTGGATATGTTGGGTCTGGTCCCTCAACATCCAGCCACTTCATTGAGTGCCTGGCTGAACCAATCACGGGCTTGAAAAAGGCCTTGTTGGCACATACAGAGCAACGAAAAATCTTTTAATTTATATACACTTTACAATCAAGGACTGGTGTAAGTTCAGAAATACATTAATGAATGGTTCACATTTACAACAGTAAATCCCAACAAGCAGCAAACAAATTGCCAATCTTTTCTCCAAAGCTAAAAATTAGCCATATTTATAGCCAATTTTCAGTATAACTTTCTGGGCATGGCAAGAGATGCTGAAGTCAGAATTCTGAACAGCTTAGTGATGGAGCTAAGAATGTTCTGAGCATCATTGAATGATTCTTTGCCAAATAGCTAGAAAAAATGGCAAAGTTAAAATTACTGTACAATAGTGTAGTCTCTGTACTCATTAACATAGCAACTATATTTTTAAAAATGAACTTATTTAATTTGGTACAAGAAGCCATTACAGTCATAAGCATAAAATTCTTAAAACCAAAGAGAGGTGGAGTGACTTCACTAAGCACAGTAAGTTTACTAAAAGTAGTCTGAGTAAATGAATGGGAATTCCTGCTTGTTCTTATTATTCAATGAAATTACTTTGACATTTGCTTTTTCTAGACATTTCTAAAGCTAGTTTTTAACTTTAGAGTAACTGTCACCTGCATCAAAATTTTGTACATGAAAAAATTACTGTGTAATAAAAGTGTTTGCTACACAGTAAAAAGGGGGGTTGGTACTTCTATACTTTATTAACATTTTACTCTATTTTGCAGCCTAAATTGTATAATGGAGATAATATAAAATTTTACCTTTTACTTTTTTGATAGGACTGTTGTAATTAAGAAAAGTTTGTTATAGTTTTTTCTTGGTTTTTTGTTAAATCTAAAGCTTTGTTTTCTTTTGATCTATGGCTTTGCTTTACACAATAAATCCAAGACTTGTCATTCATAGAGAAAATGAAAACAAACTAAACATATGAAAATCTATGCCATAAAACATTATTAAAAATGAATTTTATATTATTTTTGTATTTATTTTTTGTAAATAAAAATAAAGTAAATAAATCAGTGATTAAAGATCTGTAATAACAGAAGGACACTGTTTTGTATATAGAGAAGTCTGTTACAGCAAATGAGTTTTCTTATAATTTTCCTATACTTTTGGACACACTAACATCAGTCATCTGTAATAACACGAGGTCCAAAATATCAAGCTTTTACTGTATATGTAATATGCATATTGTATATACAGTATATAAAAATCATTTCTGATTATGTAAATTTTACTTGAGTGAATTATAGTTATATTACAATATTTTTGCATTAAAAATTGTATTCTGCCAAACATATTAATTAAAAATGTTTTTTATATTACAGAAAATAGATTGAAAATTTTCAAAGTACTGATAGACCAATTTTTGACATATGACATGTTTCATGAAGTCATTGATGAAAAGAATGAAAAACTTCGTTTAGCCAAAATTGAACTGAGACAGTTACAACTTGCTTATAAAAAAGAAATTGAAAGGTAAATTTTTTTTACTTGGGTTAGAAAGTACTGTTTCTAATGACAGCTTGAAAGATGTGGAAACCTACAAAATTTGTATGTTCATTTAACAAAATGAAACTTGATAGCAGAAAGGTGAATGATTTCTTCCAGATTAATGTAAATTTTAATTAGCTGTACTCTGATCAACACTAAAGCAATGATTTTCAACTTCTTTTCGAAATTTAATTTGCTGGCCTCCTATTTTGATACAAAATAGGAATAAATGACAAATGGGATTACAACTATCACCTTTTCAAATTACTGGAGCAATCAAATAAAAACAAAATCTTTAAATACCAGTAACAGAATTTTAATAAAAACTCCAAATGTTTTTGGCCTTTACCTAGGCCTGCCTCAGGTTTTTTAACGAAACAGAATTCCAAAATGGAATGTTAGAACGGTAATATTCAAAAAATCAATTTTTAAGATTTCGAATACCTCACAACATAAGCCAAATTCATGCTGTAGACAGGCTAAAAATCGTAAATGTATGATCATCTAATTCAATTTTACGAGCTCTATGATGGCTTTTTACCCCCATTCCTGTTAGACTTATCACACCATCAATTTGAAACAGGACAATCTTTAGAAAATCACATTTTTTATTTCCTAGAGTACTAGAGTATGCATTTCAGATTTCAAGTCCCTTTTCAACTCTTTGTGATGTAAATGGTTATGAGAAGCACAGAAATGGTGATAATTGATAACCTACAGATGATACCTGTAAATTAATAATTATCATCTGTATGTTATCAATCATCACCATTTTTGTGCTTCTCATAACCATTTACATCACAAAGAGTTGAAAAGGGACTTGAAATCTGAAATGCATACTCTAGTACTCTAGGAAATAAAAAATGTGATTTTCTAAAGATTGTCCTGTTTCAAATTGATGGTGTGATAAGTCTAACAGGAATGGGGGTAAAAAGCCATCATAGAGCTCATAAAATTGAATTAGATAATCATACATTTACGATTTTTAGCCTGTCTACAGCATGAATTTGGCTTATGTTGTGAGGTATTCGAAATCTTAAAAATTGATTTTTTGAATATTACCGTTCTAACATTCCATTTTGGAATTCTGTTTCGTTAAAAAACCTGAGGCAGGCCTAGGTAAAGGCCAAAAACATTTGGAGTTTTCATTAAAATTCTGTTACTGGTATTTAAAGATTTTTTTATTTTACAAATAGGATGAAATAAAAAAAAAGTCAAATAGAAATTTATTTATATTTACATGTAAATAATTATATTCTATTAACAAAAAAGGGGAGAAAATCAGACTTTGGGGAGAGGAAAAATATACATAAAATTTCTTGCATTGTAGTTTTCTTTCTGATCATTTTTTACAATAACTATTTTCCTATTTGTATCACAAGTAACATAAAGAAATAAAATTAATTTACTTTTATAAAATAGCTATATGTATATATTTTTTTTTAGTTAGAAATATATCATCAGTATATTAGTAGAACTAACATCAGTATATTATAGAAAATATAACCTCCCAATTTATTAAATATTGTTTGAATTTTGTATTATCCATATAACATTTCAATTTATATTTTATCAAATGTAAAGGTAGAATAGTGTTATAGTAGATTAATGAAACTTTTATATCTTAACAAATCTAATCTTATCATGTACATAATTTGTTACATATTTCAAACCATCTTAAACAGGTCTGAATATGTCTAAACAATAATTTAATATATTACAGGCATATTTAAAGTGAAAATTGTATACTGATATACCATTCTAGTATAAATATATTTTGAGATGATGTGACTTGTTTTATGCTCAAATTAATAGCATCTATGGGATTCAATAAATATATTTTATTAATATACACTTAAAAAATTTGCATAGAATTGAAAAAGGAAAGTACAGGATGTCTAGTGTTTGCCTACCATTTTGAAACATAAATACATTCACTTATTGATCATATTTATTGACAATAGTGATAAAGGAAGGATTATTGTTACAACAAATAAATATAAATATATATGTATAACTTCACTTTGATACTAGATACTCTCCATCCAAGTTCATACTCATTCACTATTGACCACATTTTCCATCACTTGTAACAGGGTAGATGCTTGTATATCTTTCATTTCTTCCACAGTTTTATGCTTAGACGTGTTTAGATCTGGCAGGCATGTTTAAAATACTGCTTTGATGGACAGCACTCCTCACATGCTCAATGTTTTTCAGCATCTGCACACATTTCACATTTCATCCTGATTTCTTATCTAATACAGTGCAAAACATCACCCTTTTCATGATGTGATTGGGTACTCTCCGTGTCTTCCAATATTGAAGTGTCACCTAGGTACTCTGTATCTTGACAACAGAACTGCCATTTTTGAAGGTCTTAATAACAATGTACAGCCAACCAGTGCTCCTTGTTTACTGAAATGGCTTCTGTTGCTGAACAGGTTTGTGCATATTACAACATCCCCACTTTGAGGCTATGTGAGTCAAAATGGTAGGTAAATGCTGGTAAACCCTCTATTTTGTGCTTAAATGTATTTTACTTGAGTTTAACATAAATGTAAAATAGTGTTTGTCCAAATCAGTTTTCATTTCTCTCTCATAAGTAGTATTTTTGTATAATAGAGCAACTTATATAAATTAAAAATTTCTGCATTCTTAAATTGAAAACATGGTTAAAATATTTTCTTTGCTAGGTAATTTACCGCATTTACTCGTATATAGGATGAGGTGTGAGTTTAAAGATCAAAATAAAGAAAATTAGATTTATTAATACAGTTCTAATTTTATTTTGTTTAATCACAAGTAAAATATCAAATGCACACATTGTCCCACAAAAATTACTGGCGTTTTAAACTTTAAGGAAAAATCCTGTAAAATTAACAATATAATTTGCTCATGTAAAGTTGGATAATACGAAACTTTTTTTTTGCCAATTCTTAACAGTTAAATCCACTCTTCATTGATTACACTTATGAGTTTCTCCAAATTCTGATTTCCAAATAATCATTGTTTTCACGTGGGAATGGATTAAAACTTATATCAGGCTTCCGTGTGATTTTGGAATTTCAAATTGGAATTTGTCAAAGTCTTTGCTTTTCCTATTCCTATTGCTATTCATCTTTACTCTTGACACTATACAAGAACGATTCAAATGACCCAGATAAAATACTTATGTTTTTAAATACAAGTGGGTAAGCATCTGGTAAAAAATGCGAATACATGGTTCACAAAAATTATTTGCAAAAACGCAAAAAATCTTTCATTCACATGAATAGGGCGACCTAGGAAGTTGTGATAAATGAATAAAGACCTTGTTGTATATGTGAGTAAATACGGTACTGTACATTGTATGATTCAATAAATAATTTATAGCTGATATCTAAAAGGAGAGAGCAAGTTTGACCACAAATAGGTCTTGCATTGGAAATTATCATCAATGATATAATTTTACATCATGACTAAAAAACATTTTATTGAAAAGACTGTAAATTAAGCTAAGCTACATGATACATGTAGTCTACATTTTATCTTATTACATTTTTAGTCTTGTTACATAGACTATAAATATTTTAAAAAGGAAAAGCATATAAAATATATTAATGATTTATAAATTTGGATTTGTTTTGATAAACCACCACCAATAACTGAGTTATAGATTAATTCTTTATTTCTCAATGTTTTAATATATTCTGACTATAATATAAACAGAAGCCCTAAAATACATTCCTCATTGAAAAAGTTAGCCTATATTAAAATGTTCTTAGAAATAAAGTATTTGAAGAATGTTTTCGAACCTGTTGAAACATAACATATATATAAAACAATGATTTCTATAATAATAATTTAAAAATTTATTCAATTTAATATTTGATTATAATTTATTTTTGGATTGATAAGATTTATATAGTATCCAGTTTAATATTTCATTTTATTCTTTAATTACTGTATTGTTTTCAGGTTTTTTTTTAAACAGTAAATGTAAGCTTTGAATAATATAATGTATTATTTCAATTATTGTGTATGATGGTAGTAATCAAAACTGAATGTATGATACTTTTTATCATATTCAGTGAGATTCTGTTTTGAGTTTTGCTATATAATTTATTTTAAAAAATCAAAATTTTATATCTCCAAATTTGTTTAGTTTTCCATAGATATATTTGAAAACCTATTTATATAAAGAAGTTGAAAAACTAATTTAAAATTTTTAAATTTCAGTTCTGGGAAATTAATTAATGAATCTGGAGAATCTGAAGATGATAAAATAGCAAATTTAATATCAAATAAAATAATGACACGTAAAGAACAACAAGAACTACTTGAACCATTAAATAAAAGAAAAGATCTTGATAATAAAATATCTGAAGTAAAAAATAGCATAAGTAATCTCCAGAATGATGTAGATGTAATATTACTTGGAAGAGATCGTTCCTATCGCCGATTTTGGATGTTTAAAACAATTGCAGGATTATTTGTTGAGGATGATGATCCATTTGTAGGAGATTGTCAACCTGTACCAACACCTTATAATCCAAATTGTAATCCATCATTTTCCAATGAACTTCCTTTACCTTTTATGAAGAAATTTTTACAGTCATCGTCTGATGAAAAAAGTACAAATAGTGATAAGGAGAATGAATTAATTGATAATCCAGCACAAAATCATAATAATGAATTAAATTGTGTAAAATCATCTGATTTATTAGACACTACCTTGAATGGAAAAACAACAGAATATTCACATAATGATGAATTAAAAATATCTGAATCGGAACTTGCTCAACGAGAATTTTTGTATAGAATTGATGTGAATAATTCATTATGTAGAAAACAACTGTGTGAAGACAAAAATTCTTATCAAAAAAAGGATAACCCAGTTTCTGGTGTTTGTACCGCGTGTTCATTAACTTGTCCAGTACATGGAAAAACTGTTCAAAGAACTGCATGGTCATTTTACCATAAAACTGAAGATTTAGATCAACTTATAGCAGCACTTAATACTCGTGGGTTTCGTGAAAGAAATTTAAGGAATGAATTAATTAATAATAAGATAAATATTCAAAAATCTTTAGAAAAGTGTCCTGTCCATTTATTAAATAATGAATCGATAGAATATTATCAGTACAAGGAACGTCGTAAATCTCAGCGACAAGGAAATAAATCTCAAAGTAATAAACCATCTCAGTATGCTTGTATGCTTCCTGAAGAAGCCTTGGAAATGGTTTTGACAGATGCTATTTTAGAAATGGAAGACAATTTACATGCTGGTTATCTTGGTAAACTAAAGGTAATTGTTAATACTTAATATTAATGACATTACAATCTGCATATTATCTTAATTCTAAAAATTAAAGATTAACTTTGTGTAAAATACAATATTTCAAAAACATTAATAGATATGTTTGCATTTGCTGATGTTGGGAGTAACCATGTTATCCCAATTTAAAATATTACTGCTGTATACTCTTGGTAACTGAATCAATTTTGTTTATCTTTCTAAAAATAGGTTAAAGTTGTAAAATTCATGTGTCTTATAATATAAATATATTTAATGTATTCAACGGTGGCGTGCCATGACATTTGATGATAGGGAAGCTGTGTTTCTGTAAGAAGCCGACTTTCAGGGGCAATCAGTTAATTGCACATGGTCTAGGGTCCATTCGTATTCGTTCGATAAGCCAGTAAAAACTGTAAACATCACAATTACATTCTGAATCGCTAGCCACAATATAAGGAGTACAATTAAAAATAAAATAATAAAAACTTACTTGGTAAAATGTGCAGTGGATGTACCAGTACATACCTGGTACAAAATATTCAATTGTATGACTATACTATAAAGAAAATTATAATTAAATATAGCTTTGTAAAGAAACATACATAAAAATAACATAAAATATTATTTTCTTTTTAAATCTTAAAACAATTCACTTAGTCAAATAGCTCCCTACGAGTGACTAATGGATGGAATCAAAGATGGTCCTGGTAGGTACATGCATGTAGACTGCCAAATCTCAAGGGTGCCAATACTGGTCAATGTCAAGTGCCTCTTTTGTTGCATCACTAGTATACTTCAAAGGACGCGACAGGTTGTTGTAAATTCCAAAATTTACTTTTCAGTTACTCTCATTGGAAAAATTTCTGTCTTTATTACATCTAATACTGCAAAGAAATCAGTCCCCACTGTACTCGGCTAGAGATTGATTTGGTTAAGCTTTTAAGTAAAATTCCAGCTCTTTCAGCGGGGTTTTATGTCCCTAATTCCCTAATATCTTAACTATTTAACTACTACTTAAGTAGTAAAATAATTAAGAGATTAGGTTACTTTGTACTTGAATATTTGTAGTCTTGGGGAAAAAGTTGAAAGACAAATTCTTATGACAAAGATACATAAATTGTAAATTTAAGGAAAATGTTTAAGATTGAAATCCGTAAGTAATATAAGATGGGAGAGCGGAATAAAAATATCAAATATTTTAATGGATTTTTATTAAACTCCTGTCAACTATACAGAACTATCATAAAAACATACCAGTAAATTCCTATCGGTTGGTTTAACCTTTCAGCAGTGGGATAGTCAGGTATGGTTAGGGAATTCAATCCCGGCCCTTATTTCTAATCCCGGGATTATACTTAGTCAATCCCGTGATCCCAGGATTATTTCGGTATTGAGGGTTAATAAAAAATAAGCAAATCCTACAGAAATCAGCACTTTAATCAACAAATCAAAATTTAGACAAAAATCAACATATTTTTCAGTATACACCTTGCTAATCTAATCACTCTAACTGATCAGTCTTCATGTTAAAGTTATTCTTTTTCAAGCATCACTGAGGTCGCTTTAAACTTACATAAATTGAAAAAAAACCTTTATTTAACAAACTATGCAAATAAACATTGAAAATTAACAAAAATCTCTCTTAACATCGACTAAATAGACGACTTTCACGTAACAACCTAGTAAGTAGGTAGTATAGTAAGTTTCTTAGCAAAAAGTATTTTAAAATAATAATCATATCTCTAATGTGATTAACATAATAACAGTCACATTTTTCTTAAATGTAAAGAAAACAAATCTAATAGGAACATTCTAATTTGAATTGTGAAAATATGATCTGAGAAATAATAATGCATCCAGTGTCTCATCACCAAGTCTGCTTCTCAATTTGTTGCACATATATGCAGCTGCTGAGAAAGCACGTTCAGGTTCGATGGAAGTTGGAGGAATCGTTAATACTTATAAGCCCGCTCTAGGTTATAGCACTGAGTAGAATTTGAAGACTCATACAGGTTCATTTCTTTCTTAACAATTTTGTAAATTAAATTAAACATGTTAATTTTGTAAATTCAGTCTGTCTCTCTCTCAGCGTCCAGCAAACCACTACCCCCATACGTAAAAGGGTTTTCTCGCATCATCCTGACAGATCACGGGCAAGGCGAGGGTTGTAACCTTTCACCTTAGGTTGTGACCCCCCATGCAAGAGGCATTGGTCTATATTACCCACACTGGCAAAACAAGATGGCTGACACATTAACAGGTGAAATGCACTGAGCAGTGCTGTCAACTGCACCAGAAAATCAATTGGTGCCCATGAAAATTCAAAAACACAAAAATGAAGTATATTACCAGGTAACCCAGTGAGAACTGCTTGCCTGTCATTTTAGTTCAAAATACAAGAAGTTTTATTCTAAGCAAGCATAACAAACCCGCTAGGTTAATTTCTGCTGCTTGTTTGAAGTAAAATTTCTTGTATTTTATATTAAAATGATAGGCAAGCAATTCTGTTAAGAGCACTGGCATTGAATGTTTCGCTTCATGCAATCTATTTTGCAACTTTTTTAAAATGATGGAATCTCAGGATCAGGAAAACTTAATCCCGAAAATTTCAGGACTGAAAAGTGGTTGGGATCCCGGTATCAAATCCTCTAGGTATGGTGCTACCTCAAAGTAGTGGAGAATAAACGTGGGAAATTTTTAAAGTATTTTTCCATGCATTTTTTTCTCATTACCATTTCAGAAGAAGATTTTGTAAACAGTTATGTCTAAAGAACTAGTAAAAAATTTTTTTCAGTAGTTTTTGGCGATACCCCAAAAGAATTTAATGGATATATTTGTCCCTCACCACTGCCACACAATCGACCTGAACGGATATATCCATCCCTCACTGTTGAGTTGTTAAATTATAAATCTACTCATGATTCACATAATTGGGCGAGGGTGGCCAAATATCTAGCAGGCACGCGGCTAACAGCCCAGAACAGGTCCTGCATAGAATCATTGGAAGCATTGTGTGTGTGTAGCTTCCACCAGCTAAACCACATGAGGTTGGTGCTCTGTAAAGCATATGCGCGAATGTGTATAATCTGGCTGTTTGGAAGTTGACCTGGTTTCGACAATACAGCGCTTCCATTCCGCCACTGATATTTGAATATACAATAGCAATCTTATCGTTTTTTTCACACAGTATAGAAATTTTTATTGATAATAAGCGGTTATAATAAAAATGTGATTTATACATGTGCTGTGCAAAACTTAAGGACAAGATAAAGTAACAGAACTTATGAACAACTCGGTAGAAATGAATGAAGACCTCTGGCAAGATGCGGGTGCATCTTGCCAGAGGTCTCTCGATTGTGCACAGAAAGCTGGACATCACATGATATCAGGTCAGCGTAACCATGGCGCCAAATGTGGCTGGCCACACAACACGAGGCAGTTGAAGAAATGGTAAAAGACAGTGTGTGTCAATCAGTGAGCAGTTACGATGCACTGTGGTAGTGTTCTTCATTACACTTCACACAGGGAAGAATCATCGGGAGACTGGAAGAACAAAGTGTGATGAGTGTAGCCCAGAAGTTTGGTATTGCTCACAGCATTGTTTCACATTCATGGGGAGCATTCCAAACCACAGGCACTGCTGTCTGAAGGAGAGGAGGTGGTCGACCACGATCAACTACAGCAGCAGATGACTGCTACATTGTACAACAGGCATTAAGGGACCCACATCAATCTGCAGGTGCAGTTGCAACCATATATAACAGGACTGCAAGACACACAATCTCACGCTTCACAGTGGTACTGTGACTGCATAGGGGTGGTCTCTTTGCCCGACAACCAGTACATTGCGTTTCATTGACACCAGCACATCAGTGGCACCATTTGCGATGGTGTCAAGAGTATAGGGACTGAACCAGTGAGGAGTAGGGTTGTGTACTTTTCTTGGATGAGAGCAGGTTCAGTCTGAGTAGTGATTCTGGACATACCCTCATATGGCGAGGGGTGGGAATGTGTAATGCACCCAGGAGCATTGCAGACATGATCATTTTGGTGGTCAAGGTATTATGGTGTGGGGAGGCATAATGTTGCATGGGTGTACTGACCTCCAAATTTTTGAATGCAGTACTGTCACTGGTCAGCGTTATTGTGATACTGTACTCCATCCCCGTGTGCGTCTTTTCAGGGATGCATTCAGCCCTGACTTTGTTATAGATGACAATGCTCAACCGCATCAAACAGTGCAGATGGAGGAGCTCTTGGAGCAAGATGATGTTTGGTGAATGGACTGGCCTGCCCATTCTCCCGACTTAAATCCCATCGAGCACGTGTGGGATGCATTGGGGAGATGTATTGCAGCACATCCACATGCACCAACAACCATCCAGCAGTTGCCAACCATGCTGGTGGAGGAGTGGAACGCCCTACCACAGGAACTCTATCAACCTTGTGGCCAGCATGGGAGCAAATTGTAGAGTATGCATTGCTGTCCATGGTGATCACACACCCTAAGAACCATGTCCTGCCTTTTTGTAATGTCCAGGAGACCATCAGAAATCATGGTGACTTCAGTGTAATTATTGTCATTGAATAAAAGTGTCATTTCTGTTCGTCTTGTTGTGTATTTCTGTCAGTTACCTTCTGTACTATACTGTAGCAGTTCTTTCTATGTATGGGCTAAGTTTCATCAAGCTATGTTATTTGGCAGTGACACAACATGCAAACATTACTTATGTCCTTAAGTTTTGCACAACAGTGTACAAAATATTTTTTTGGAATTTTTTTAGTATTTGAATTATATCATATTGAAAGTGTCTCTCTCTATCTCTCTCTTGCATTCTAAGATCATCTTACTAATTGTTTACCAGAAGTCTGTAATATGACTCTCATAATTAGAACAATAAAAATTTTGAGAGAGATGGGATGAGCCATTATTTATAAATGCTTCCCTGGTTGAAAAGGAGTTAATCCCTAGATGATTTCCCAATATTGTCCCTTGATTTTCTGAGTCTGAAATAGATGATGTCTTCATTTACCTTTCTTTTGTCTTAAGTGTTAGAAGGAATGTGAATCCATTATATATATAATAGATGCACATTATTAATCTAAATGTATATAAGCATAAGCATACACATGAAAGTACTTGTGTCTATTCTGTTCATACATCTGCATATGAGTATGAATGTAGTCAATCATGTGCTTCAAAACTTCAGTTTTTCAACCAATGAGAGAAGCTCTAATGCATTTAAATTGCAGTTTATAAAAGCATTTCTTAGTGAACTGAACTTGTATATCTGTTTTGAAAGTAATGTTCTGAAGAAAAAACAACTAATGGTGTCACTGGATAAATATTTTGGCACAATGTGCTCATTGATATTTAAAGTTTGAAGACAGGGTGACTATATTGCTGTTGCAAATATAGCTTATGATTGATCAGTGCTGGGTAGCAAGTGTTTGACTTCATATACCCAGTTCAATTGTTGAACATAGTAGTCACTGTCTATAGTCTGACGATCAGGAATAAGCTTCCTGTGTATTGGTCCCTCAAAATTCCACCAAATGCAAAGCAAGTCCTTTTGATTGAATTTACTTTTAACAATCTGTTCTACCATCTGACCAAGCTGTAACCATTGATTTCCTTTTTCAGGATTTAAGAAGTAGGTTTCATTTTTTTCTCTAGTTACAATTCGGAACCAGTCATTTTTTGTGCTTGCCAGTACAACAGTTTTTGAGGCTGTGTTCAAAAAGCCAAGATGATGGTATTGATGTTGGATTTTGAAGTCCTGAGCATAACCAACAATCTGCATTACTGATAGTTGGCTTGTGTTGAATAGTTTGGAGTTGTACTTGCTTGTTATTTTTACACAATTAGAAAAACTGCCAGCTGGCAAAAGTATTCACCCCCAATTAACAAAAACACCAATAGTGAAGTACAGATAAAACTANGAGCATAACCAACAATCTGCATTACTGATAGTTGGCTTGTGTTGAATAGTTTGGAGTAGTACTTGCTTGTTATTTTTACACAATTAGAAAAACTGCCAGCTGGCAAAAGTATTCACCCCCAATTAACAAAAACACCAATAGTGAAGTACAGATAAAACTACAGAATAGAAACACATGATTTATTAAATAACACATTAATGCATTAATTAATTAAAGTGTGAAAATTTAAAAATAAATAATAAAAAGCAATCCTCAAAATAGCTGTATACAGAAACAGCAAAAATCTTCCATTTCAGATATTCATTAAACATTTATTATGAAGTAGTGTTTAAAAATGTTCTGTTTACAATAAAAATGCTTTTCTTTTTTTATTTTCCACACTATAACAGCATTTGAAACATTAAATTTTTTTGCAATTGCTTTCCACTGACAATATCATGCAAATAATATAATATTCTCTGATAAGTAGGACACTATTTCATACTTTAGAATATCTGATTAGCCTAAAATGCAAGATCAACTGAAGTAGCTTGTTCCACTATATTAATATTTTTGTCTTTTTTCTTATGTTTATTTTCTTAAAAATTAACTGTTACACATATATCCTGGTGTGGAATGGCATGTTTATGAAGAAATCATCATCTTTAGAAATTTAATNTTTGATATATTTTAATTTATTACAGGTTGATGATCGTCTTGCATGGAGATTGAAATTAGAGAGAAAAACTGACAGGGTGTCTCAAGATAAAAAAACAGGAATAAATGAGTAAGTTTTATACTAAAATAAATACAGGTATAACCCATACAACAATACTACTATTTTGATCTAATACTGTTTTGGAAATCCTCTGTACAAAATTTTTCAATTTTTAAGTGTAAATTTCATTATTAATTTTTTTTTTTTTTTATTTAAGTAAGCATGCTTGTTATCTCAAATTTGTTTGCTCATGGATTTTATAATATTGAAAATTTACAAATTAATTTGTGCTTTTTATTGGGTTTACTCTAATGAAAACTGTAGGATGAAGAAGAAAAAATTGCACTAACTTTCCTATCAACTTGCTTAGTCTGTTAGGCTAGACCAGGGGTGGGCAACCAAGAGTTCAGTGGGAGCCAAAATGCTTGGGCGCTGCAATTTTGTACTTTTTTATTCTGTACCACATTTCTGTATTGCGATTTTATTATATAATATAAATATAATATAAAACAAATATTGAATTTTTTTAATAAACATATTTTCACAAAATTGTAGAAATAATAAAAAGCAGAAATTAACAGTTTCAGCAAGAGCTGCATGTAACTCAAAAAGAGCCACATTTGCCCATGTCTGGACTAGACAATCTCTAAAATGGAAAATGTTTGACTAAAAAATAAAGAATAGAGAGACAATCTGTTTCAAATTATTCTTCTTTTACTCAGAATCTGAGGAAAATAACTATCACAAAACCTAGACTCTCTACCCCTCCACTGATTTCATTTCCCCTTATTAACTCCTAAACCCTTTGTTGAAGCCACATCAAATTTTTCATGCTTATTCTCTGAGACTTTGGGGAAAGTAGATTTTTGTGAAATTCAGACACACCACTCTTCCCTGATTTGATCTCCTTGACACTTCATGATAAACTTAACAATTGTAAGCTAAAATAACAATTAATTAAAAATCTACTAATGTGAGGTAGATAATAAGGACTTATCACACCAGTGGTAATAAGTGATAAGTCCTTATTATCTACCTCACATTAGTAGATTTTTAATTTAATTATACCAAAGGCAAAAAGCAATTTTCTTTATATTAAAATAACCAAATTTGTAATGTGATTTTCATTTAATGTTTAGTCATTTTCCTGTTTGGATGTGCAGTGCCAGACATATCTGTTGGTTACTAATAAAACAAATATTTATGAACTCTAATACAAATTTATATTTTTATTAGAGTTTGTAAATATTTGTTTTAAAAATTATTTTTGTAAATTTAAAATACTTTAATTTATCTGGAGTTAAACATTTTTACTAGTTCAAATCCAGATAAAGAATTCATCATATCACGATAAACTGTATTCATAAAAGTACAGAATGAAGAACCTGTTAGTAGTTTCAACTTAGAACTGTCTCAACAATCTGTATGGAACAATTCTTTATAGTTTTTAGTCTGGAACAGTTCCTTTCGAATGGTTTCGACTGAAACTATCTATCTCTATTTCAGATTTTAGCCTTTAAGATTGTCAATGTGTTTTGTTTTATAGATTAATCTTTATATTTAGTAAAGTTTATTTAAACATAAGTGCTTTTTTTAACTGTAGGTGAGCAATCATTTGTAAAATGACAAATGAAATATGGCAGTAATTCAGTACTTGAATAATTCTGTATTCAATCACAAATTCTGGAAAAGTTCACTCAGTACTCAACTGAACAAATGCAACCTGCTAGAACAAATTTTCAATTAATAACATTTTTATTTCATCATCCATAAAAAATACGGAAATGATGATATTTTGTAAAAAGAAAATTCCCTTATTTAACTAAAATTAATATTTCTACCGTGTTTTGAAACCGTGTCATATTTTTTATATTTGTTCTATAAGCGCAATGTAGCGTAATAACAATCGCTGAGTTATTACGCTACATACTCTAGTACAGAGGTGTCCAACCTTTTTATTTCTCTGGGCCACATTGGAAGAAGTCATGGAGTTCTGGACCACAAGTATATTGTGACCCAATTTTTAAATATAAGAGTATATTTAAGGATTTGCATGTCTAGATCAGGGCTTCTTAAACTGTGGGTCACAACCTCATTTGGGGTCGCAAGATTTTAATGCAAAATTTTGAAAATAATTTGTGAGAATTTGAAAATGGCGTGCTTTGTATCAATAGATTTCATGAGTTGCACTTCGTGTCACTTCTGGTGCAGCGAGACAACGATTCAACACTGTAGTGCACCAGTGCATTGTTGTTTGCTTCCTTTGTTGCCAATGACACAATAGCTGCAGCTGGCCACTCACTCTTCAGGTTTGTCAGGATGTAAGCGTGCGACTATGCAGATGCGAGAGAGCGAATTTTCTGAGCAAGCGAGAATATGTGGTGAGAAGAGGTGAGAAGCGATAAATATCAAAACCTGTCAGATATGTGCAAGAACCAGAAATTCGCTCTCGCCAGCGTTATTTCTTGTTTCGCGTTTGTGCATGGTTTTCCTTTGCGAAAACAAAATCGCTCGCAACCTCTCGCTCACTCTAAATTTGCGTCTGCATAGTCGCACCCTAAGTGTATGCTCAGTTTTACATTATAGACATGCAGAAGCAACAGATAACAGAATATTTAGAAATGAGACTTGCAATCCAAAACTAATGGAAATGCTGCATGACATAATTGCTGAGGTGAACCCCTTAGCACAATGTTACAAAATGGTTGAGCAGCAAGAACAAGCCATGATTTAGTGTTCAATTATGTATACAGTAATACCCCGAACTTATGCGATAGGTGGGACCGAGTGGTAACCGTGTAAGTCGAATTCGTGTAAGTCGGGGTATAATTTCGCATATAAATATATACAAATAATTTTTAATTGGGGCCGGAGACTAAAGAAAACAATAATTTAGAAAAAAATGTTTAATGAAATCTTAGATAATACATATGTATAACAAATTAGGCCTATATTATTTTACAATTTTTCACATTTACTTGATTATTACGCCATAATTTTAACATTGTTTCCATCTCAGTGATCATTGACGTTTACAAATGATGCTTGAATTTAAAGATTGAGCATTTTTCACAGCTTCGAGAATTTTTTCTTTGCCTTTTATAATTGTTCTGACCGACAATTCCGGTAGATCAAACTTCTTTGCCAATTCACAAATTTTCATTTTTGTAT